TGAGAAGATAAAAGTCAGCCGAGAAATGGGAGTTCTTTGCAGAAGGCAAAGAAGTTTGATACTCCAGCCTGGTGGACATTAGGAATATCTGACTTGGTGCTTGGAGACTCTTTGCTTTATTGTTTAGGAACTTTATCCGTTGTTCTTGGCAGCCTTGCCAAAACTTGGCAAGGCTCTTTCTTGTCGGAGGTAATTAGTTGGAAGCAGCCTTTTATCTGTGAAGAAACAGGATTCGTAGATGAAACATTAAAAGGTTGTGCTGCTGCCTTTGTCGTGTTTGTTCTCTTGGAACCAAGTTTGGGTCAGAACAAGGTCACTTTTTTCAATGCTGTTGTATTTGGAACAGTTACACGGCAAACTGTTTTAAGTTGAGGACTACCTGTACAGACAAAAATACAGAGAAGACGACTCTCAAAGAGACAAAAGCCAGACACACTTTCTTTCCAAGATCTGAAGCAGACCATTGATCTTCCCCGTATCCAGTAGGCTAAACTGTCAGCTTCCATCTTACGTTTCCTTGTGTTTCACTAGCTGTCTGACCAGCTGTCTGCAAGCTGTCTCCATTCCCCTCCATCCTGTCAGAGCTGAAGAAGCTTCTTGGATGAAAAGCGAAAGGTCTTCAAAGGTTTTTCAGTTGCCTGCTGAAAAAGCAGCTTTGGGGTCGTTGCATTAGATGACTACTGCTATGAACTGGGGAGATGGGGGAACTGGGCAAAGGGGGGAAATGAAAGTAAGTGTAGTATCTCTTTGAGATGCTGCTTCAAGGTCTCCAGGCATACTAGCTGCATACTGAGTGTTAGGAAAACGTCCTGCCTGAACCTGACTGCTCACATGGGTATGGGAGATAGCTAAGAGAGGGAAAAGTTGAATTTTGCCATGCGATGCTCAGTTCTGACTATACACTATTGCAATATATTTGACTTCTAATGAAACCATGCCTTTCTCAACAGATGAGAGCCAAGGATGATTTTTATTTAGAGATTTAAGCGGCGGGAGGTCTGACACAGGCTTTAACTCACCTTTTTTTAAAAATTAAGTCAATATAGGCTAAACTCATCATGCCAGAAAACATAGGATCTGCCCCTAGAATTATCTTTATTCCAAAGACAACCTTAGGGTTTCATTGGCATTCCCAAAGCAAAAAGAGCAATTAATTGTGTCACATATATGTGTGTGTGGGGGGGATATATGCATAATTATTCATTCATTTTGTCATGTTTATGTAGCATATATTGGACACGGTGACCCTTTGAGAGTTGTATGCAATGAAATTTCATTTTAATGTATGCCGATTAGTGTATATTTAAAGTGACAATAAAGTTATTCTATTATAGCCCAGTGTTATGCTTGGAAATATATCCCTGGACCAAGGCATCTTAAGCAGTTAAACAGAGGTCTTCAAACTTGACAGCTTTAAGACTTGCGGACTTTAACTCCCAGAATTCCTCTTCCAGTCATGTTAGCTCAGGAATTCTGGGAGTTGAAGTCCACAAGTCTTAAACTCGCCAAGTTTGAAGACCCTTGAGTTATAACATCAGCAAGCAACGTCTCCCATCCGCTTTCTGATTGCAGGCAATCCTTGGCTTACCACCATTCATTTAGTGACAGTTTGAAATTACAACATCGCTGAAAAAAACAGGCTTGTGATTGTTTTTCACGCTTATGACCGTTGCTGCATCTCCATGGTCACATGATTAAAATTCAGCCACTTGGCAACTGGCATGTATCTATGACAGTTGCAGTGTCCTGGGATCATGTGATCAATTTTTGTGACCTCCTGATGATCCAGGTACCACCTATTTTCTATACCTGTGCATTTGGCTTTTCTTGCCTAAGTACAAAACCTTACTTTTCTCACCACTAAATTTCATTTTGTTACCTAGGGTTCAAACTCTCTGTGTTTAGGATTGCATGTCTCCAAATACCAGTTGTAGAGGAACAAAAAAATACAAGAGTCCTTGACTTACAACAGCTCATTTAGTGATTGAAGTTAGAAAAGCCCTGAAAAAAAGTGACTTAGGGCCATTTTTCACACTTGACTGTTACAGCATCCCCGTGGTCACATGATTTAATTCAGATGTTTTGACAACCGGTTCACATTTATGACGGCCACAGTGTCCAAGTCACGTGATACCCTTTTGCGACCTTCTGACTGTCAACTCATATTTCTATGGTCTTTTTAGAGTTGCCAACAGAAAGGGAGAGCAGAGCAGTGGGCAGCTTGCGTTCCATAAATGTTTTCATAGATAATAACTAGGCGACTGAAGTTTCTGTTGTGCAAAATTCTAACTGGAGAGCATGACTCTCGGCTATGGATGTGTCCCATTGGAGAATATGAATTATGATACACCCAGGGGGTGGAGGGAAAACCAGGGTCAAGGGTGACAATGAATGACGTGCCTCAGAGTCGACTACACCCAGGCAGTGCTGGACATGTTAACTCCCAATAAATCCTTTTGAAGTTTTGGAAGTTTGGCTCGAGACTCGTGATTTAAATGGGGGTAACTGTCAGAGCCCTGACACTGACAAGCCAAGGCTTCAGTGAGGAAGCCAGATTAACAACTGTGTTACTTAACACATTTTTCACTTAGCAACATCCATTCGGGCCTCAATTGTGGTCGTTAAATTGAGGACTACCTGTATATTGACTGACATGGGCTTTATTATCCAGCAGGCTTATGCATTCCCCCCCCCCAAAAAAAAAAACTATGGGGAATGGAGCAAGGACAGGCACATGTATAAAAATAGAGAAAGCCCAAAATAGTGATGAGTCAGGAAAGATGAGCTTAACATGTGCAGAAGGAAACTGCTGCCAAAAAAAAAAAAAATACCCCACTGCAGGTAGTAACTTAAGAGTCTTTAAAAGAAAAAAGCAATTTAGCAGCTTGAGAAAAAGAACATGCCATGAAAATTTATGGGCTGAGGAAACAAAGAGAAATTTGAGCAGAGAGGAAGAAGCTCCTTGGGGAAATCAACGGAGAAATTCTTTTGATAGCAGAGGGAATTGGTCTTCTAAAGTAGGCAGCCTCACAAATCAAGAATTAGTGTCTGAAGGGTAAGCTATTTCTTCCTTAATGGTTTGACTGTTTAGGGAAGGGGCTGCAATCTGAACTGTTTGGGGACCTACTGCTCTAACTTGGCTTAGTTCTATTGTACATCAGGTATATCTACTATGAAAAATAACAGGGGAAAAAATCCCTCCTCCCAAGAGTAGATGGAAACAGTGTAAAACCTCATGTATGGTGACCTGATGCAATGTAACATTTGTATCTCTCCACCTAAAAGCTTAAGAGAAAATAGAAAAGGTTAAGACAAAAAAAAAAGACTATAAAATGAACGTAAACCCAGAAATAAACAAGATTACTCACTGCACAAAACATTAATTCCTAATTTTCTACGGTGAAAATTAGTGTGTACCATGGAGAAGTGTACCATTTTGATTTCGCTTACCTCTGAAACGTTTTTCTTCTTGCTGGCCTTAACCCCCCCCCCCCCATTAGATTTTATTAAATGATATAATGTTTCAAGGAGCTACAGTTCACCCTAATATCTTTTAATAACATGGGTGGGTCTAAAAAGTCACTACTGTCTCCTTGATTCTTGGCTAACCTAGAGTATTGCAGCTCTCCTCCTGCAGTTTTTCCCCAACCGCATTTTCAATCTTATTTTTTTGGAAGAATCCTAAATAAGCTTCAATCTGTATTAATTATTAAACCCTGCCCAATCTTTTCCCCATAATACATTGTCAGCAACATTATCCCTTTTACACATTGTCTCTTCCTAGCAAGATAGGGTCAAGGGTCCATATTAAAATACAATGTAAAAAAATAATTAATTTTCCAAAATAATTAATGCAATTAGCAATTAGTACATATTGCACAATTAACATTAGGACTATAAAACATTTTATTGCTCACCCTCCATGGCACCTGGCTAAAATATTTATCTTTGCTATCCAAAGCCAGTTTCCTAAAACTTTTTCCCCTCTCAGGGCTCATGTTCATTTTTAAAGATTATGGATAAGAGCTTTTGTCTGTAAGGGTGATATTTATAAATACTGTATTTGCTGTATAAAATTAATGTTGACAAATCCACGGTCACAATTGTGCCTCAGGATTGTTTGACGGGTTTTAATATATTATTTTTTTTCAACATAGGCTGGCAAATGATTTTGATTCTGAGAATACCTGAGAGGATCTTTGATGGAGGGGTGGGTGGATCCTAGGATCACCCTTTAGTACTCTACACTTACTGCATTAAGCCTAACTTTACAGCAATAATACAAAAGATAGGATCAATAGCATAAAAATAGAAATTAGAGAAAGCCAGGAACAAATGAAATCATTGTACAAGACGTTAACTCCTAATTTTTCATGGCAAACCTTAGTACCAAGGAATAATGCATTTTCCCAGGCTAAATAAATACCTCGATTGGGGGTGGGTGGGTTAGGGGAAGACACCAAACCATATTCTACCATTTTCAAACGCTGAAAAGACCCCTCCCTATTCCTGATCGTAAGCCACAAAGAAGATGCATTCCGCTAGCTAGGCATTTCGAGAATCCCCGAAAGCCTTTTAAAAATGAAGTCATTACAGCCAAATGCGTTTTGCACCCAGATATGCCCGGACTCTTTTAAAACCCAGCACAGCAAGAACCACGCGTTTGAACGCAGCACAAAAGCGGACGCGATCTCGTGGCCTTAATACTGTAATGCGGGGGGGAAGCGCGGCGCTGTTTTTTTATTTTTTTAATCACTGCTCGCCCATTAGACAAGCCTTCCAACGCCCCTTCCCCATTCTATCACCGCCACAAAAAGGAGAGGGGAAAAATCGCATTTTCCTCCCCGACTCCCTCCTCTGTCACCGACCACACCCCAACTCTGCCTTCTCCCCCTCCCCTTTTTTTTACCACGTGGCTCTTCCTGCCCCCACCCCGCCCTATCAGCGCGCGCTCCTGAACCCTTTCGACCAATCAGAGCGCGAGCCGACCGCCAGTTTATAAAAGCTTTGTCTGGTTCTCCGCAGGCTCCCCAGAACGTTTCGCTGCTGTTGCCGCTGCGTTCGGAGAAGAGAATCTTGAGCTCCGCAACGTTCTAGCTAGACTTAAAGGAGCAGCGGCGTCCGGCTAGCGCAATCTTTTTTTTTTTTTAAATTATTATTATTATTAAAAGCAGAAGTGCGGGCGAGGCATTAAAAAGAGGCAAGGCAAAATGAGGGAAATCGTACACATTCAAGCTGGGCAATGTGGTAACCAGATCGGAGCAAAGGTGAGGCTGGCAAATTTTCTCTCTCCCTTCTTCCCCTCCCTCCACCCACCCACGTCCACGCGGGCCCCAGCGTTGAAACTTCGAATAGAGTCAAGGTGGAAAAATAGCGGGAGGTGGAACGGCTCAAACGCATTGCCGTGCTGCTCCTCGCATCCATTGCCACGGTGGCAAAACGGAAGTGCTCCCCGTGGCGAGAAGCACGTGGCTGCGTTAATTTTTTGAAATAAAGGGCTGCGGGAGGGAGGGAATCTTTTGTTCGATCGCCGTTGCAAAAAACACCCGGTGCGATCGCTATCAAATCCAGTTACAGCGGTGCTCTTTCCCTTATGTATACATAAAGGAAAGCACCGCTGTAACTGGGGTTTTATATATAAATTATAAATAAATAAAATTTGTGTGTGTGTGTGTATATATATATATGTATATATATGTATATATATAACAATGGCTTTAATCTAGAGGCGATCCCTATACATATATAGATATACAGATATATTATAGATATATATGGAGAGATAGATAGATAGATATGGATATATGCAGGTCTTGGCGTGTTCGGGTCTTTTCCCGTGTAAGATTGAGAGTATCTTGGCGATATATATCTATGTATGTATGTATGTATGTATAGGGATCGCCTATAGATTAAGGTCATTATCCGAGGGGAAAAGATTCTCTTCCTCTTCCCCCGCTAAAACCATCTTCATTTTCCTTCTAAAGGGAGGGGCCCTTGCCTTTGTTCGTCTTTCCTTCCCTTTTAATCCTGCGATTTAGAAAGGAATGGGATTAGACCCTTAATGGCAGAAGTCTACCCGTGGACACCACTCTTGCCGGGGGAGGGGGGGGGAAAGGGGAGGGGTGAAATGCCCGCCAGCTATAATCGGCGTAGCCTGTAAATTCTAGCGCCAAAGCGGCTGCGGAAAGGGAGTGCAATTTCGAAAGAGATCCGAATCGAAGTGTGAAACGAGAACAAAAGCCGGGCTGTTTTTTTGTTTAGCGGCGGGACGCGAAGGGCGGCTTTGTGTGTGTGTGTAGCCGACATATATATATATATAGAGAGAGAGAGAGGTCGGCTACACCGATATATATATACACACACACACACATAAAATTTGAACTCAGCCGGAGAAGAAAAAAAGACGGGAGGATTCGCACAGGGTTCGCGCCCCTCCACCAGCCCGCCTAAATCCAACGACGCAGTTTCGTTCGTGGGTTGTTTTTTTTTCGGGTTTTTTTTTTTTTTTTGCGACGAGCGAATCCCGATTTCTTCTGAGCCGATTTCACTCCCTGGGATCGTCCGTATCCACGCGGTCGATCCCTCTTTTTTTTTTTTTTTTTAAGCCGAGCCCCACCCCGATTTCCTGATCCGTTAGAGATGGGATCGAGGCCAAAGGAGAGAGGGGGATCCAAAGGGGTCATAGGCGCGGCTCCCCTAGGAGAGACTAAATGGAGGAATCCCTTTCCATAGATTGGGGCGTGGGTAGCCAAATTCCGGGTTAGTCCCACGAAGCGCTCTCCCAGTTTTAAAACTTTAGCTTCCCCTCCCCCATCGGTACGTTTTGAAAGAGGTATGCCTTGAAAGGCGTTTAAAAAGCAATTATTTTTTGCTTGCATAAATAAAACTGCCTCCCCCCCCCAAAAAAAAAAATCTCCATAAATATAGATGAAGGGGGGGAAAGGAGGGTCCGGAATTCTGCTTGAATATTTTTTTTCTCATCATTTTTGTTAGGATTTAATAAAACGGCATTCAAGTTCGGGGGAAATCCCTCCTCCCCCCCGCTTTTTTTTAAATTATTTAGGAAAGGGGCTCGAGAGGCTCCGTGGCTTCTCCGTCCCTATCTTGACATTGGATCCTGACTTGAAATTAAACCCCTCTTTTTAAGGCCACCCCGCACCAAACCGCGGGAGCTTGAACCTCTTTGTATATATAATAATGTCGGATTAAGCCAGGAGAAAGAAAGAAAAAAAAGAAACGCGCCCCCCAGTAATTTTGTTGCAAGCCCGAGGCCTGAAATATGTTACAAAAGAGAAAGGTTGCTTGGAAAGGAATATTCTCCTAGCGTTAAAAAAAAAAAATCCCTTGTAACGACTTTTCAGACATTTGGGGCTTCCTCCCTCATTCCTCATAGGGCAAGCATGCTCCAGAGTGTGTGTGTGTGGGGGGGGAGTGGATGATGGGAGCTGGAGTCGAGAGCATTGGTGTGGGGGGGCGCCAAGTTGAGGAAAGCTGGCTTGCAAAAGCTGGACTTCCTCTACTGCAGAACGGATGCCATTACTGGCGCCAAAGTCCCGTCCCCCACCTTTTTTTTTTTAACCCGCCCACCATTTCCAGTCTTTGTCTGCAGTCGGGGAAGCACATGGCCGCTGAGCGCGCTCCTCTCTCTCTCTCCCTCTCTCTCTCTCTCTCTCTCTCTCTCTCCCTCTTTCACTCTTTCCCTCCTTCCCTCCATCCTCTTCCTGTGCCCTTCGGCCTGGCTGCAGCAGCTGCAGACATGGGGTTTGTGGGCGCCTGTAATGGCCGCTGTAATGGGCTCTGAAAGCAGAAAGGGAAGAAAGGAAAGGGGGCAGAGATGGCAGCGAGGCGTGGTTGAAGTGGAGATTTCGGTTCTTTTATTGAGGGGAGATTTCGGTTCTTTTATTGAATTCATTCTCTCTATCTCTGGCTGGCTTAAACCCCCCCAGAGTTATACTTTCCGAGCCTGCCAGTCTGCTGTCATGTGCAGTCAAATGGCTTGAAATCCTGATTTATCGGAAAAGCCTCCCCACAAAGCTGGTGAAATCTGTCCAGTTGCTCTCTCTTGATTAGCTGGTAGAAAGGAATAAAACGGGTCTTCTTAAAGTGGGGGGATGAACCTGTGGGATGAAACCTTAAATTGCATTTCAGCTTAGCAGGCTTTTAAAAGACTGGGAGATCAGAGCGAGAGACAATGGCAGATTGTCAGTGCCCGCCCACCTACCATATTCCCCAACCTCCCAGCATTAGATGCCCTCCATATTTCTGTCTTTGGGATGCTCATGTGAGGAACCATCAAAGGGCTTCTGAAGCAGCATAAAAACTTTTTTTTTTTTAAAAAAAACATCTTTAAAAAAATCCTTTCTTTTTAAAATCTCTCTGGATCTCCTGCCTGAGCAAGGTCTACAAGACCTCCCTTCCAACTGCTCTACATCCATGTTGAAAGGCAGGAAGGATGCCCAGCCAGGCCTTCTGGAGAAGAAACTCAAACTTGACAGTTGTGTGTTACTCCACACTTCAGAATCTTCTTGGTTACGCTTTTACCCCATATCCTTAAGTGAAGCTGGGTTTCTGCAACATGTTAAGTCATCCCCCCTCTAAAGTTAGGACATTGTACCAAGCAGACAATGACGTCTCCATTGTGATGGTGGTCAGGTTTTTTTTTCTCCATTGTGCTACTTACATCAAAAGGCTGGAGAGGAATATTCACCTGTATCCTTAGGACAGGAGCTAAAATTGGCTTTCCTATCTTGCGAGATTGTTCTCTGTCCTCCCATAGGTATAGCTCATCCTTTTTTATTTTTCCTGTCCTCCCCCTTTTCCCCCTGACCTAGATCACTCTATAATTTTAGACATTGTGGAATAGGGGATTGCCAATGGACTTAGGAGTAGTAAAAATAATTCAGCACCTGCACTGTGTTGGTGATAAATGATAGCAATGCAATGAGAAAGCAGAATCCTACAGTTTGTAGAATAGGCTTCTGGACCTGTGTGCTTTGTTCTCTTTGTGGTAAATTCTTGTGCATGTGGGAAGAAGAAAGAAAGAAAAATCAATACCAGGGATCGTCATTCGTTTTCCAAAATGCTGCATTGTTCCTAGAAGGCTGTTGTAGCCTTTAAGACTTGTATTCTGGGGAATCCATAGGTGCTAATCCAGTGTCTGCTCCTTCCTAGCTGCCCCACCCTGGTCACCTCTACATGACCTACATTGCGGTATACGCATCCACTTCGGCATGCCTGTGGGTGTGTCTGCAGCTTTTTGCTGGCACCTGATGAATTAAAAAGCAAGACTGGACTAACTGAACTTGCAGGCTTTCTCTATTAGATAAAGAACAGCATCATTTTTTTTTTCAGGAAAAAAAAACAGAATCCCCCATTCATGATCCTTTAGAACAATATCTTCCCACTGGAACTCTTAAAACCCTAGCTTTGGAATCTCTGCACATTCCAATGATGTGCATTGGCTTTTTGGACCGGTGTCTTGTCTGCAGTCAGGGTGGGGCTAAACCCAACTCCCCACCTTCCTCCTCACTAGTGTATTTAAAAATTTATGTATCTGCAGTGCCTTGCGTGTGTTTGGTCAGCAAATGGGAGACCCAAGGAACCAAGGTTTCTCTCCCCACCCCTCCCAATAGCCTCTGTAAAAACATCTGAAACTGAAGGCAGAAGTGATTTACATTGGGAAGAACAAGCCCACTAGAAGCAATCATCTCTTAGGCATAAAGTACTACAGTTTTGTCCTATGGTTTGTCCGCTGTCTTTGGCCACAAACTATGAAGGAACCTTATCAGGATTTTATTTCAGTGCATTTCTTACAAAAATGATGCTATTATTATCTGCCTTGGGGAAATGTATCCCTATGAAGACAAAATTGTGCTTCTAAAACTACAACACACAAGCTCCTTCCTAGCTGAAGCTCTTATGACTGAATGAGGATTTTTAAAATTGGCATACAATAAATAGAAACTTTTTTTTAAAAAAAATCATTGACTGAATACAAACAAGCCTTTATGAAAGTTATAGGGGGGGTGGACCTAACAGAAAACTACAAAGAAATGCCTACAGGGCATATATTCATACATAAATATATATGAGTAAAATGTTACCATAAGTATTACAATGAATGAAAGCTATATCGCATTATAATCCTTAATATGTACATATATTTAAATGCAGCCAGTGGGCCACACCCCCTCATTTGTTGCTTGTGTCAGTGACAAACTTACTATGCTAGAAGCTGGATAATTACAAAAGGGCTATTGATTCTCCT